TCAACATTTCATAAAGGCACAATTCAGAGTCCTTCAGCCTTTACTTCTCCTTGCCTAATCTCTTCCGGAGCTTATAAAGACTTTTAGGGGCTGCCGCCCCTTTCTCTGAAAGAGAGTCCTCTCCGGAAGATTCTGAGTCCAGCTCTCCATCGGACCTACTGTCCATCCCTTTTTTCCCTTCCTCCCCTGGCTCACCCAGGTGGACTCTTTAACATTCCCATGCTTTCTGAACAGAGTCACTCTTTTTCTTTTTTTGTCCTTGATTTTGAAGGTTACGCCTTCTGGAGTTAACCATCTATATCCAATTGCATTTGTCTGTAGAAAAAGAGTTAATTCTTTATATTTCTTTCTCCTTTGTCTTATCTCAAATGGAATATCTTTCAGTGTTCTGATGGTATTCTCCCCCACTTTCAGGGGAGCTCCAGATACTGCTTTCAGGATTGCATCCCTCACATGCCTCTTCGAGAATCTTACCACAATTTCCCCAGGCAGATTATTTTTCTTTATATATCCAGAATATGACCTGTAGGCCACATCCATATCGTTTAACAAACATTCTGCCTTCATATCTGTCACTGGGGCCAATAGTTCACTCATTAGTTCCTTAAGATTCTCTCCCTTGGTCTCTGGCATGCCCTGGAAGCGAAGGATCATATTAGTCTTTTCCATTTGTAGCTGTAACAGCTGATCTTCCATAGAAACTTGCTTCTTTTCAAGCTTTTGAACTTTCTTTTTCACCTTTTGTGCAGTGGCATCCACTTCTTTCACCTTCACAGCTGTTTCATTCATCATTTTAAGAGTCTCGTTTATCTGTGTTTGCTGTGTGGTGATACACTGGGTCATTGTTGACATCTGTTCCTTGATGTTATTCATCTGGTCCAGTAGGGGGCGCATGGATTCTGCCAAAGTATTTGCCAGCTCGTTGGTTCCTTCCGGTTTAGGACTCTCTGTTAGTTTCAATTTCAAAAGTTTCTCTTTCTCCGTCCTCTTCCCCGCCATCTTTATCGATTGTTTACTTTAACAAGTATTTTAAAGTTATCTGAATATGCGCCCAAACACTCGAATTCACCTTGGTGAGTATTTCTTAACAGTTTTGCACGCTTTCTCTTCCGCTCCCCCCCTCAATTCGCTCAACAGTTCATGCGGTTGGGAGGCGTCCCTCCCCAACCCGTCTCACTTTTCGTTTTACAGAATGGGGTAGGGAGCATTCTTTTCTCTTTAACCGCCGCTTACATTAGACTCACGTTCTAACGTTGGTCCTCAGACCTCTTTTAATGATCATTTCTGCCGCTCGACCTCCTGCGCTTGCCCCGGTTGGCGTCACTTATGTCCATTCGGCCTCACGGCACAAAGAACCTTCGGGACGGAGAGGCGCCTCAATTCCCCGGCATTGCGCAGGTGAAGAGGCGACCTCTCAAACGTCCCCTGGCCAGGGCCCCTTCAGCCGGGTCCCTGGGGGGATGACGAACCTGTGCACCCCCTCCTTCGGCTGGAGCGCAGCTTCACCCCCAGGAGGTCCGGGAGGTGAGTTTGCTAATGGGCCACCATCAACTGGAAGTCAATCCATCAAAAACTTGTTTTGCAATCATCTCATGCAGAAGAGTATAGAACATCTCCTGGGTTTGATTTGGCACGTATATATTAATAACATCTTTTTTGTTTATTTCTGAATTGTAATAGCCAGTATTCTTCCATCCTCGAATTCATATATTAGTTCAGGATAAAGATGTTATTACAGTCTCATCTTGCACATTTTCATTAGATTCTTCAAGAGAATCATTCCAAACAATTCAGAGGGGCAGGGGACAGAGTAACACTGATCTTTACATTGTGCAATGCATCTCAGTGTAGGTAGATTATTATTTCCACTAAGATAAGAAATGAATTAGTCTACAGGAATCATTATAAAACCAAATCTGATGGATACCCAATCAAACTTGTCAACCATTCTTTCTAATTTTCCCCATGTATCTTTAGAGTGTCTCCCACAGGGAATTCAGAATTTTTCACGAAAGAACCATCTTGGCAATAGGACTCTATTCCATAACGCCACAGCAAGGGGAAGTCTGGTCTGGCCCCTGCTATCAGCCATAACACAAGCAACTAGAAAGAACATATCCTTTCTGTCCAGAAAAAATAAAACTTCTTCAATAAGCCTCCTGCTAATGAAACAGCAGAGCAACTAGAAGTCATTCTTTCAGCCCCACCCCTTGGCAACGCAAGCCTTTAAAGGAAGTTACAACTTGGCATCATTTCATTACAGATTGACTACTTGATGTTTGTACTTTATTTAGATATTTTATATTTGATTGCCACTTAGGTCACTTATGAACAAAAGGGCAGGATATAAATTAATAAATTTTGTCCTAACACAGGCCAGAACATTTATAACTCCATCAGAAAGTGAAAATCAACTTTGCCTCTAAATACCTGTTAACTCAACCCTGGCTCATGGCACCATCAAAATAATCTTTCCTCCACTCCCCTTCATTGTTAGGTCTCGGGTTGTATCCCACAGACCCATCAACAGAAGGTGCATGTCTGTTGGCTGCACGGCCAACCGCCCCTTCCAATTCTGGGAAAGCTGATTCCTAGGTTCACATGATTCAAATGGACTGAAAGCCACGTAGGTCAGAGGGTTGAAGTGAAGATGTAATTAAATGACCCTCCTCTCCTGTAAGCACCTTTCCACTGATAAGAGGCAGGAGGGGCAATTTCACCCTCTCCTCCTCCTCACTGCAACTTAACCTGGGTGGTAATTCATGTGGATCCCATGATCAAAGGAAATCAACTTTCCAGAGGTTTGGGGGAAATTATGGTGGAGAGAAATATGACAAAAGCAAGCAGCTTTTTTGGCACACAGGAGCATGCATGCCCCCCTACTTAATCTTCCTTGCAAAGACAACCCACATCCAGATTCCTTTGTACTTCTGAACTTTACCATCATCTTCATAGGTCTGATTTTGATCTTTTCTTTGTCAAAACCTATTGTCAGATGTAGTGCACAGAATACTACACTCTTATAATTTCAAATGGAGCACATCTAGGATATCAAGTCAGATTTCTTAATGAGGTGGCAGGTACTAAAAGCTCTGGATTCTCTTTCAGTGCCTGATTATATGCTACAAACCATGCATCATTATTAGTCACCAAGATTTCACAAAATAACTGAACACAGGCAAGGGCTGCTTTAATACTCATAGGCTCAGACACTGAACATCTCACCTGAAGTATTCAGGAGGATGCTAAATCTTGTACATGCAGCAAAGCAACACTGGCATGCCACTTGATGTGACAATATACATAGTTTTGCCTGTATGAAAAAAAGTGCCACAGGAGGTCACGTTCAATCTGGAGGGAACCCAGACAAGATGCCCTTAGGCTAGCAGTGTTTTTGCCAGAAATTTGGGGGGGGGGGGAAGCATAAATCATTACGGGTCACAACTTAAATTAACAGCTTTGCCTCCAGAATGCTGTACTGGAGATGACCACTAGAGGTTGCTTCAAGCAAGACTATTTTGGATCAAAGAACGAAAGTCTCAGACTGATTTCCCACAGCCACTGCTCTGCGCTCGCTCCTCTCTGCCCCGATGGTACATGTCAATTTCCCACTCGAAGCCGTGCAGCCGCATTTTGACCCGCGGCTTCTCCCCTGCAGTTTCGTGATCCTGTTTTTTGAGGATTACGAAACTGCGGGCAAAATTGGGCAAAGCGCTTTTGCTAAATTAATGCGGCCATGCGTGGGAAATTGATACGTACCATGGGGCAAAGAGAGGAGAGAGCGCAGAGCAGCGGCTGTGGGATATCGGTCTCATACTTTTCTTATATGAACTCTGCTCTAAGCTGTTTGTCTTGCAGTGCAAACTATCTGGAAAGAATCATGAAAGAATCACAGTTCAAAAAAAAGCAGGTGAAAAACACCATCACAAGAGTTTAATGACAGCCTTCCTGTAAAAGACAAATGTGTTAGTATCTGATTCCCAGTATTACCTAAAGCAAGGTCTAATACTCCCTTCTTCCACCTCCTCACTTCCCCACCAAAAATCTATCTAGGAAAACAGTATACAGCAGGGCTGTTATCACCAAAGGGCTCTTTTGACATTTCATGGTCATTTTACCAGCAAATTGGATTAAAGAAACCAAGGCATCTTTACAATTAACTGTTTGGACAAAGATAAATAATTTAGCACAAGTATCTTAGTAACTATTTCTATTGTGTGATGAATTGGAATTATAAATATGTGCTATGATTTCCCAGATTAAATAAAACTCAATTTACTCTAAAATCATTTTTCCTTTGGGGCAAATTAACTGGAGTGTTAAGGTCCATATTTAAATACCTGCAGGAGGGACAAAATATTAAAGTGCGAGCAAGTGTGTTGTTGTAGTTTTATTTCAAAAAGGCTTGCATGCAACAAATATAAACATCTAGAGCAGTTGCAATTAAACAGAAAATCATCAATACAAATTAAACACAGAAACAGACAGTTCTCTGGCTTCCAGAGCATACAGTACAAGACATGAAAAGAGAAGATGCCTCCTCCAAACAGCAAAGAGATCTGACCAATAAAGCCTAAAAATCAGCACCCAAAAGTTTAAGCAAATCCTGGTTGTCAAAGCATTTACAGCAGTATTTGTCTGTGGACCAAATCCTGGTTGTCAAAGCATTTACAGCTGTATTTGTCTGTGTTCAGAATGTTCTGCTGTATGCCCCTTAAGCAAACTCCAGCTCAGTTGGCAGCACTAGGGAACATCTCACATTCCATGTTTATCTGGGGGTTCCCCTGGATCTTGCAGCTCTCTAACTACTAATTGAGGACAGGGTTGTGTTCCAAATCCAACATATGTACTTCATGGAGATCCAAAATAGCTCAAAGTATCCAGCAACATATTTAAAAGGAACTCCTTCCTGTTCCAAATGAAAACTTTATCTCATCTTTTCAGAGCAGGAGTTCTTGCTACTCAGAGTGTTTTTGTGGGTGGTTTTTTTTGTTTTTTTGTTTTTTGCTGAAGCCCAAGCATACATAGTGAGCTTACAAGCAGCTTCATCTGCAGATAGAAATGAAAGAGGCCAATGAAGGAGCACTTCTGTATAACTGTGCTGGTTCCTAGGCCACCAAGCAATACTGCTGTGCAATTGCTTGTGCTGGTTCTAAGATGGGGGATGTGTGAGAAAAGTGTTTCAGTGACGTGCAAGATGTGTGGATTTCCCAGGAAAGCTATGCAAGCAAGGAATTTGATTCCTGTCAGTTCTTGCCAAATGAACTATGCTGAAGACGACAACGTAGTTTTTGTACTCTAGCATAACATTTTCCATATGTATATTCTTCTTTGGAGGAAAAACATATTTGAACCACCCAAAAACTACAAAATGATCCAACTTATGGACAACTAAGAATTATGAACAGCACTTTTTACCATATTGTTTACTGAGATGGGGAAGAAAAATATATAACATAATGTGAACAAATGACAAATAATTTCAAATCTATAAGTTTACCTTTCTAGAACATATCAAAAGGTTGAAATATTTTGATTCCTTAGCACAATGAGATGTATGGTCCATACACAAGAAATTCATATTGCGCTCTGTGGGTTTCTAGATTGTACATAGATCAATTGACAATACTAACTTTATACAAAACTTCCAATAGTACATACTGTCCACCATCATGAATTGACAGGTGTCTATTAAAATCCATTGTCTTGCTAAATACATTCAGTCTCTATTGCTAGCAACAGTTTTCTTTTTAAAGTATTAGGATCTTCTATACTGACGTAGTTAGCAATCCTAACAGTGCACCTGAGTCATCTTCTCACCAAACCCTTCTACTGTATTTGACAGTTCCCAGCCTTATCAGGATCTTCTCCATCAAGCCTAATCCACTTCTTCTCAATTTCAACCTGTAGAGTAAAAACAAAGGAATACAGTAAGCCATGCTTGTTTGCAAAATCAAAATACACACGAACAGGAAGACAGAGTTACCTGGCAGTTGTAACATGCTTTCTGAACCACATGTTTCTGTGGCTGAATGTCACACTCTATGCCCAGAGATTTCACTTCAGTTCCAGAAGCACATGCATCAGGCATGACAAACTGCACGGTGGCAAACGGATACCAGTCTGAAGGGACTTCCTGATCAGACCCAAGTTCTAGTTTGTATGACAAACTGTGTGGATGATCCGGACCTTGAAAAGAAGACAGGAGGAAGTGTCATAGAGAAGCATTAAAGGGATTGTTCTTAATCTAATAAAAATGCCAACTACTTACTCCCCCATCCCTTGCTTTAAATTGCCCCCTCCAGCCACTGAATATATATGCTTGAATATATACATCTGAATGTAACATGTAATTTGGACCCAAGCGAGTTTTTTGTTTTTACAATTCTCAGATGTGACAATTGAGTATTGCAAAATTTAGCAATTACAATTTTAACACAAAAAATAAGTGGGAAACATTATATCTGAAAAAGGCATTTCCCCTCTTGTCTTGCACAGGAGAGAACATCTTTAAGATGGCACCTGCTTAAGATCATGTGCATCGCCCGAAAATGAAAGCATACTTCGTTTTTAACTCAGATACAGATTTAAATTGATTAAACCTCATGTGATTGACTAATGTTTTAAACCAGGTGACAGCCATGTTTCATGTGCATACTAAATAATCTACGTTTTCAGCCTCATCAACAGTCCTACCATATATCACTCAATGTCTCCATTTTAAAGATTCTCATACTTAGCTCCTCACATTTGCACTATGAGGATAATACAAAAACATGATAAAGGCAGCCAGTATCAACTGAGATAAACTTCAAGAGGTTTAAGCACTAAGAAAAAGCACAATATAAATGACTAAATATTAGACATTAAGTTTAAATTACCATTTCAGCATCCTTAGATTCATTGGATTAGAAATGCCATACTTATAGTCCTGCTAGGCATTGTACCTGGAGCACCCAACAATGCATTAGAACACTGTTGGGATTTTTGTAGTAATGTTAGCTCACTTAGGTCTACCTTTACATGAAAGTTAAGAATCTGTGGCCAAGAAAGTGGAATGAAGCAGCAATACTTGCAGAAATAACAGAAAAATCCAGTAGGAAAGTAATATATTCTAGACACAATTAGGGGTATACATTTGGCTCTATCCAAGCCGGGAAAATAGGCAGAAAATACCTTATTGATATTTACCGGCTATCATTTCAGCCAGATATAGAGAGGGTGTATTCTCAACTATCAAGCATAGCCAATCCTGGATATGTTGACTTATAACGCTTCAGAACAAGTGATCATGTTCATCTAAACTGACACTTAGTTTGACAGCCACAGGAACCAGAATTAACCGGTTCAGACAGGAGCTGGGCAGAGCACTCACAGTAACTCAGCAGGCAGCGGATTGGCTGATTACTGTATATATGTGAATGTAGTCTGTGAATGTAAGTCCTTCTTCTTGTATGCGTGTCTTGCGACGCACTTTGACAGTGAGCTGCATATATTGTAAAATAAAACTGTACATAGTTAACCACAAGACTGTGTCAGCGTGATTTGCTACAGTTAGCAGGGCATAACTGGACTTCAGCTAGAGTGGACTGACTCAACTCAAATGCATAGCGCGACAGGATAATCCCCCCAAAATTGGGATTATCCCAGAAAGCAGGATAGCCACAGTTAAACAGCATTTAAAGAGAGTACATTCCCTTTAAACACCATTTTGGGTGAAGCTGCAGCTTCACGAATGCATTTAAAGGGACTGCGGCACCTTTAAATGGCTTCAGCTCCATTACAGCCTATGTGGACCATTATAGTCAATCATCCCCATAGGCTATAATGGGCAATCTATCTGGGCGTATGTGGGGGTTGTTTTTTGAGGTAGAGGCACCAAATTTTTAGTGTAGCTTCTATCCAAAAAGACTCCCCAAGTTTAAAAAAGATTGGGCTAGGGGGTCCAATTCTATGGTTCCCCAAAGAAGGTGCCCCCATCTTCCATTATTTCCAATGGAGGAAAAAAACAGCAAAAAAGCAGGGATTGATGTCAAACCAGAGAGTCTCTGTAGTAAAAACTGAAGGGGAGAGCATTTTTGTAGAACCAGTGCCACTGGGTCAATGACCGCTCAACAAAACCAAGCAAGGGCTTTTTGTATATGCCTAGCACAGCCAGTGCATGTACAGAATGCCCTGCAGAACCAGTGTTTGTACAGAGTGCCCAGCAGAACCAGTGCCACTGTGGCAATACCAGCTCAACAAATCCAAGCAAGGGGGGGGATTCCAAGCCCAGCATAGCCAGTGCATGTACAGAGTGTCGAGCAGTACCAGTGCAATATTATAGTGCCCGGTAAAAACCAGTGCCTTCCCTTAAATGCTTTCTTTTTTTTCCTCCATTGGAAACAATGGAGTATGGGACACCTTTTTTATGTACTCCGCACGTTCACTGGTTCTGCTGGGCACTCTGTACATGTTCTGGCTGTGTTGGGCTTGCAACACTCACACACGCAGCACGGAACGCATCACTAGATAAAGAAGAAGAATCATCTTCATCCTTCTGTCTGTAGCATTGCTCCCCCCCCCCTTTTTCTTCATGCCTTTACACTTAACATCATTCAGGCTCAGACATAATATAGGGACAGAGGACTGGGTAAGAGAAGCCCTGTTGAGGATGGGGGGGGGGAGAGCCCCTCCTGGTGGTAGTTTATCTGTTCCCCCCCCCCCCCCCCCCACACACACTTGCCTTGGACTGAGAAACCAAAGCTTGGAAGGCTTAGTAATACTGTCGTAGTTGCCAAGCAATCCCCACAACTGGCTGCTGAGATCTCAGGATGTAGTCCCTTAAAATTTCAATGGGCTTTTATAACTTAAAGCTAAATATGTTACTTGTATTATTTACAGGGGGTTAATACCCCTTTTTGTAGATTTCAGATTTTTTTGCAAGCCTGGGCTGCCTTTGGTTTTCTAGAAAAATTACCCCATTAGTCTCTATAATCCCACTGTGTGGTTACTTTTATCTAGGGCCCTGGTTTTTTGTTTTTCTTTTAATCTAGGGCCCAGTTCAGAATTTGATATAACTTTACAATATGCACACATCCAGTAGGCTTCTGTTGTGAAAAATGATTGATCTTTAGGATACTACAATATGACTTCTCAGGAACTTATATTGTGCCAGAATCCGCATGCATGCAATTTCCTGCAGTTAACAGAATAAACCAGGGGAAATTTCTTCCACTGTTATTAGCTACACCATTGATACCTGGTACTTCACAAGACAAAGGTAAAAACAAGTCCTGCTTTAAAAAGGACTTGCTTACTAAACCTGGATAAAGACAGGAGACTAGAGAGAGTGGAAAATATAACCAGGCAATTGAATTCCATACTCAGGCAATACAGTTGAGAAACAGTGTTAAGTACAGAGCTCAGTATCCCAAAAATTTCAGTTTCATGTTTTAAAAGCAGCAAGCCTCAAGGCTGTGTAAATGAGCTTAGAAGTGGGTGAGCAGCATATGCTAAAGTGTCAAAACCCATTTGAGGAGCAGCAGAGTACTTTCCAGAGATGTAATGCAGATCACAAAAAAAGCCTTCCCTTGGCACTGTACTTCTTTTATTGTATAGTATACAAAACCCCAGTGATTAAGGTATGCAACATGAGACCAAGCACAGGCTGCTTTGCACTTGCATCCAGTCACCCTTCCTAAAAAAAGAACACTAGGAGAAAACCTCCTCTTTATTTCAGCTTCCAAGGACATCATCATGACTTCCTGTAAGCTGACTTTAATTCTTTTCCCAATTTTTGTGGACTTTTGAATTCCCAGATGCACCTGACATCTGGAAACAGGATGTCAAATCTATATACAAATCCCAGATGGAAAGAGAACAGAGACTCCAGAACAATTTCTAGATTCTTATTCTCTAAGTCCCTCCCCCACCTTTAGTACTGGAGGAGAATGAAGGCAATCCCTTGATCAACTATTTTCCCGTATTTCCATGATGTTTTGTGCTTCCATGCCAATAAAGGTTTTTTGTGTGTGTGATCAAACACTCTGCCCTAAACCCCAGAATATAAATAGAACAGTCAATAGTCTTCAAACATAGATATGCCTTTCAAGAATACCACATTCTCTCATAAACTGAGATGCACAGAGCAAGCTTAATGGTATTAAGTTCCTTTTAACATGGCATCTATTGAAGTTGGTTTATCAGGCTGGTATATTAAGACATGAACGATTCTACAGCACAGGAGTGTAAGATTTGGAAACAGTATTTTTCCCCCATTCCAACATGCCCAAAATATCTTCAAATCCAGTATCATAAAGTAATGTATTCTGATCATTCCTCTACTTTACCTTCAACTAATATACCTAGGATGTCCACAAAATGAGAATGCAAGCCCTCTTCACAAACAGTACATTCTATCATTTAAAATATTTTAAATAAAATAATATTTACTTGAGTTTTTATCTGGAAGTCTGTCAATCTTCCACACAACAGCTCTATAGGCACTTTCATATTTGGCTGTTCCAATGGAGACCTGTATGACAGAATCAGATTCAATCTCTGTTAGAGAGCCAAGACATGCTCTTCTGTTCATTTTCGCTTTCAGTGACTTTTGCCTTTGGAGGTTCATAGTCCAAAGGCTTTTAATCCACTGTGGAGGAACAGGGAAGTGTACCATAATATTCTCACAGTGGTGTTTCATGGAATGAGAATGCATTGAAGCCAGAGCAGATGAGGACATGTTTATGAAAGCTTGAAGTTCAACATATGCTCCCTGGACCACCACCAAGGCCTTGACAGAAAATGGAAGATCATGTTCATTATACTGTGTCCTGAAACGCATCAGCTCTAATCTACAGCCTTCTGGAGGTACAAATTTAATTATTCTTGACTCTTCAAACTCGTCTTGTTTTACACATCCATGGAAAACACAGTCAAGAATATCAATCCATTTCTTCTCTGTGTCTCTCTCAAAGTAACGGGCATCTCTCTTTCGGAGCTCTAAGTCATTCAGTGTCAAGAAGCACTCTGAGTTTCCATTCACAAAACTCAAGCAATAAATATGGGTTATAACAGCACTTTCAACCAGTTTCCCTTCTGCTCTAGTGATCCTCCCCCAAAAGTTGTCAACTATTTCCAAAATTATTTCCTGTTCTTCATAATATCTCCTTGGCTTTGAAAGGGCAGGAAGCTTCATTAATTCTTCCTCTACAGTTTCCAGGAAATCAGTGAAGTCATTATAATTAGTCGTTCCCAGCTTCAACATCTGTTCTATTTCTGGTTCATGGACCACTTCAGCTTTGGGATGATATTTCTTTTTTTCAATATATGATACATGCTCTATCTTGACTGTATGGATTTTTCCAGAGACACTGCAATTCTCCAACTTGGGATCTGAAAGTCTGCAAAATGGCTGTAGCTGGAATTCTTTGAAAGGTTTCTCAAGTCCTTTCTCATAGTACATTTGAAGAATTCCTCCAGGCAAGACCCTAAGATATATAGGTCCCCACTGCCTTGAGGACATCATATTCTTCTTTTCAGGAATTCTCAACATGAAAGGCCACCCATCTTTTCTTCGATTCCTGAAGAGACTGTGTGGAATGAATAAAGAGGAGCCATCTCCACTATACATACATGGCATAGCTGTCAGCATTCTGTCATCATTTGAAGTATTAGTTTGCAAATGCTCAAGCCTCTTACAAATGTAGTGAAAAGATCCCTGATTGACGCTTTTCTGATCAGATAGCACTTCCTTTTCTTTGGGACAGCAAGTATTCTTTTCAAGGCTTACATCCTTTCTGTGCACATCACAGGTGGATGAAGACACAGCTGGTGGATCTTCTGACCAAAATGGACTAGAAAAAGCACAGTCATTCTGAATATATTGGAAGAACGTTTGTGTTTCTACAGATTCTTCCATCTTATTTGAGACTTCTTGTTGAACTGCTTTTGCACTATCCGTTGACTTAGGGACAGAGGTATTTGAATAGTCCTCAGTCCAAGATATGCCAGCCAGTTTTTGAGAGGATGGCCCGGCTAATGGGACATCAAGATTGGATGACAACTCTGGAATAGAATAAAGAACGTGAACTCCTGATTTGAGAAAGCAAGGACTCACAGGATAGTCTTTGGTAGGTGTGCACAATGGAGAGTTACTAGGAGGTGCAGGAGTAACATAATAGTCCACTACAGGAGAAGAGAGAGGAGTGTTACTAGAGGAAGAAGATTGACTTGAGTCATGTATTTTAGGCAGAATGAGATTAAGCCCATTTGCTCTGCAGGCACTATGATTTCCACCTGCCTTCTGAGGAGACTGGAAAAGGGGGTCATCTTCAAAAGTAACCCAATTTGCAGGGTTTGTGGTAAACATCTTATTGCAGAAAGCTGCAGGAACTCAGCTGAGGCGTCACTTGCAAATCATCTGTTCAAAACAGAGAAAATAAAACAAAGTAAGGAGGGAAATCAAGTTCTTTTTCCATGGTCATATCTATACTATAAATCCGGACATGACTTCAGACAAGAAACTCTGAAAATACTTGCGAAGAGGCTTAAGAACAAGCAGCTGCACAAAACTAGTACTCCTTAAGTTCTATGGACATAAAAATTAAACTGGCTTAAATTTATAGTGTAATCAAGTATTCAGTATTGATGCACCTGAAAGCTTTGCAGCTTCCTCATATTCCAGATGGGTGGGCCCCAGCGCCCCACCCTCACCCTGGCAAAATATCAACATTCAAAAGGAAAAAGTTAGTTCTGAATAGCCAATAAAGGTATGAAACCTTTGAAAGAAAGGTCAGATATTAAACACCAGGGGCGGGGAGGGGAGATACAGGATTTTCTTTCAGCAATGCTCGTGGCAGGCTGAAATTTTCCCTAATAAGGGGCAGGGTAAGTTAAACAGATGGATACATGCATAGGTATTCCCACAACTGAGGCCAACAAAATACCACAGTTATGTGGAACTGCCTTCATATACACAAAAGAATACACACTATAGCTTCTAGAACTCTAGTATTTGTTAATGTGTTTTTAATTTCATTATTTTATAATTTTAACTATATTTTTAATTGCTTAAATGTTTTAATTTTTTTACGGTTGCCACCCTGTGGACCCTGACAGGATGGAAAGGCAGCATAAAAATGTTATAAATAAATAAGTAAATTCTCAGCCTTCTATGAGAGGCATTTTTCTCTTCCCTGCCCTCTTGTCTAGTAAATGAGATCTAGTTTATAAAGTCATAGATCATGTAATCATGCCTAAGCACCATATTTCCTCAAAAGGAGACAACCCTGAATGCAAGACAGCCCTCTTAAAAATGTTATACACCAAAAAAGTACTACATGCTACAGTAATGTCCAGCATGTGAATGTAAGATAATACTTTTTTTTTGCAAGAATAAATGGGCCAGCTCAGATGATTGCCCAGGCTACAGATATAAAATTTCCAGAAATTTTGAAGTGGGGGGGGGGGTTCCTGTATTTTTTCCAGAAACAACAGAAATAATAGGGAAAACTGAAGTACATGCCATACTTGCTGCCCTATCAAACCTAAACTAATTGTATTGCTTTAACAGAAAATGCATAATTAACAAAATTATTAGAATATAAAATTGCAATATTGACATACTTATGGAATTTAAAAATCATACATGCCTTAGTTTTCTACATGCGAAACTGCAAATATACCTAGTACTTAAGAGAAAATCACAAACTGATGCACCCTATGCTATGTTAGGCCATATACTTTAGTTTTTGCTATCTGAAAAGTTAAGAAAATAAAACAGAAAACACAAGCTTTGCATTAAATAAAATATATTATTTGTTCAGAAAAAGGTCACACAAAGGGTCAATAATAATATTTGCACAGCTAGATGTAGTTACAGCTGGAGGCTGTCTTTTTCCTACTATAGCTACTGGTTAGAGAGAACTCAGCTCTCAATGAAACTGTCAAAGTTTTCTTCTGAGGATTTGGTGCAACCTCCTTCTGATCTTCTTTTCCTTCCAGCAAGTTAGGGCAATAAGCTACCTGATACCCAGTCTATGGGTATATGCATCATATATGCATAGTGGTTTGAGGGAGAGGTGAAAAGGTCAACCACAAGAGAAGAGTCAGGTCAAAAAGGTCACAGAAGCAATGAAAGCCCTGCATGCCTCATGAAGATCAAAACACTACTTAGGTGTCTTTGGTGAGGTACTTTCTCAAAAGCCTTTGGAAAGTCCAAGTATATAATCTCTATTGGGTCACCTTTGTCTACATGTTTGTTCACTTTCTCAAAGATCTCCAAAAGGTTGGTGAGGCAGGACTTCCCTTTGCAGAAGCCATGCTGGTTTTCCATCAGCAGGCTTTGTTCTTCTATGTGCCTAGTAATTATATCTTTGATTACAGTTTCTACTAATTTGCCTGGGACAGATGTTAAGCTGATGGGCCTGTAATTTCCTGGTTCCCCTCTGGATACCTTTTAAAAAATTGATGTTACATTTGCTACTCTCCAGTGTTCATGCTCAGGCGTTTCTGCCTGTCAGAGGGGCTGGTGCGCTGGCCCCTCTGTCAGGCAGAAGCCCCGGAGATTCTCCCCCCCCCCTTTTCCTTCGCCCCACTTGGAGGCGAAGGGAAGAGAGAAGGGGAAAGGAATAGAATTCAGGTGCTTCTGCCTGTCAGAGGGGCTGGTGCGCTTGGAGGTGAAGGGAAGGGAAATGTCAGGGGATGAGGCATATGCAAATAAGTTATGCTAATGAGTTATGCGAATGAGCTCCTGCCCCTCTTTTTCTACGAAATGACCCCTGGCCATCAGGACCTGGAGACTTAATGGTTTTTAATTTCCCCAGTAGGTCTAGAACTTCATCTCTGGTCACCTCAATTTGGTTCAGTTCTTCAGGCTCCCTTCCTGAAAATAGTGGCTGTGGCATGGATAAACGTCCCACACTTTCCACAGTGAACAGAAGCAAAAAAGTCATTAAGCTTCTCTGCCACCTCACCATCTTCCTTTAACAATCCCTTTAGCCCTATGCCATTCAAAGGCCCCACTGCTTCTCTGGCTGGTTTTCTGCTCCAGATATGCTTTAAAAAAATGTTTGTTTGTCTTGATACTTTAAGCAACGCGCTCCTCAAAATCTCTTTAAGCGTTCTTAATGTCTGGTTGTTTCTGTTGCTCCTTAAGCTCAAACTGGTAATTCTGTAGCTTTCTTCCAAATGTATGATTACATAGCATGTTAGTACAGCATAAGTGCATATCTAGATTGGGAACTGCATGCAAAAACTTTAAAGAGTCCATGGATATGCTTTGACTTCGAATAATTGGGCTTACAGTGTTGTATTGGGAAGAGCCTTTAAAACTACCTGTGCATCCCCTGCCTCTGATTGAATGACATATATTCAAGATATTAAATTTTCTGTAAAAGCAGCTTTTTTGCTATTATTTGTTTTCTAATATTTTTTAGCAAATGATGCCAAATAGCTCTTTGGACTACAAGAGCTAGAGACCACAGCTGTGCTTCCCTCAGAATAGCTCAGTTTACTTTGGAACTTTATTGTGAAGCAAGGTGCCTTTGTAATGCAGGAACAGCTGTTGAAAGGAAACAGAAGGGCTTTTCTTTTGTGCAACGTAAAGTTGTTCATTAAATTGTAGCCTCAAAGTGTGAAAACTGTTCCATCTATAGCACTAAGAAAATATATGTACATGCACAGAATTCTGATGCGCATCATGTGAGCTACGTTACAAACATTCTGCACAGAAGGACTACAGGAAATAACTTTTATAAAACAAAACTCAGAATTGTAACTTTTCATGTATTAAAAGGTAAATGCGTTGTGACCTGACCGGGATAGCCCAGGCTAGACTAATCTCATCAGATCTGGGAAGCTAAACAGGGTTGGTGCTGGTTAGTATTTTGATGGAAGACCTCCGAGGAATATCAGGGGGGTGACGTGGAGGCAGGCAATTGGGGGAAACCATGGCTGAACGTCTCTTCCCTTGAAAACCCCAAGAGTTGCCATAAATCAGCTGTGACTTGACGGCATTTTTCACCACCGATCCTTTCTCCTTATAATCTCCTTTGTTTCTGAGTAACAAAGCTGAACTATAAATGAAAATAAAATAGTTTTGTTCAAATGAGCTCTGTTTTTATGACGTAATAGAGCACCTAAATATTTTGGAATAGGCTTTTCCTAATATTTTTGCTAGAGATAAATTATTACCATATGTCAGCTGTAGGTGTCAGGGAGTTTATATCTGCTGTTTTATAGTATGCACAAGAGAGAAGGAGATAGGGTTACCAGCCCCCGGTCGGGGTGCGGGTTCCCCTGATTTTGGTGGCTCCAACCCGTCAGCAGCCAGCTGGCTGGCAGGGGAAGCCCCAACTTCAAACAGCCCCCTCCCACATCAACATCGTAACCATAAGAGTTTTTGGGCAAAACGCTAAAGCATCAACACATGATATGCCTGGCACAATGACATCACTTCCAGGATTAGATAGATTCACAGAGGTCTATCAGTGGTTACTAGCCATGGTGACTGAGGTGAACCTCCACATTCAGAGGCAGACAACCTCTGAACCCCAAAGCCAGGAGCCAGCATTAGGAGAAGGTCTCAACCTCTATGCCCTGTTGTTGGCCCTCCAGAAGAACTAGTTGGCCACTATGTGAGACAGGATGCTAGACTAAAAGGACCACTGGTCTGATCCAGCAGGGCTCTTCTTATGTTCAGACATTCACTCAATACCAATTATTTTAACCTGGGGACAAGGATGCAGGAAAGAATCAATGCAACTTGCCTGTCAGTTCTAACATAAGTCTACTCAAATACATGTTCTTGTGAAAAGTATCAACATCACTCACTGAATATTTATACACTAGCAGTAAAGCCCGTTGTGAAAGCAATACAACGAGATCTAGAAAGATGTGATTTGTAACGAATGCATAGGCTGGAAGGAGGTGTAAAGTACCTCCTGGAGATTTGGGGGGTGGATTCTGTAGAGGGCAGCATTGGGCGGGGGGGGGCGGAAGGACTCAGCAGGTATAATGTCATAGGGTCTACCCTCCAAAGCAGCCATGTTCTCCAGGGGAACTGATCTCTGTCATCTGGAGATCAATTGTAACAGCGGGAGATCTCCAGGTCCCATCTGGAGATTGGCAACCCTAGGGGAAAGTCAGCTGCACAGCAGGGGGTTGAAGAGAATGGTTTGATGGCTGCTGGGCCAAGATTGGCAACAATAGTTCCCCAGGAGCAAATGGCTGCTTTGGAGGGTGGAGTCTATGGCACTGTACCTGTCTGAGGTCCACCTCTCCAGGCTCCACTCCTCAAATCTCCAGGAATTTCCATACCTTAAGCTGGCAACTTTATCTCCTCCCCTCTCAGCAGCCTCTTTCTAGGCAAAATTCTGTCTTTCTCATTAGCGGGGGAGCAAAGCAGCTTACTTCAGTCTC